CCATATCTACATTTATGAAATAAATTCAAATTCATTAACATTTAACTTATAAGTTTAGCCATATCTACATTTATGAAATACATTCAAATTTTTTAACATTTAACTTATAAGTTTGAGTGTTTTTCTATTGAAAAATTATATATATTATTATCATATTCTCATATAATGCAACAGATACTGTAAATGAGTCTCAGTGAAAAACAATCACCTATCTGTTACACAGTGACAATATCCCATGCACATGAAACATCAGGTTCAACATAGTGTCACAATATTTATTGAAATGTGCTTTCTCCAAGTTAGTAAGGTACCAGAATCAAATGTAATAATTCTTTAGGCCTTATTTCATTTCCTAGAGTGACCTACAAATGAACCTGCAATGATGCAATGTCCACAAACAGAAAGATACAAAGCAGGTGAATGACCTCAAGATCTCTGAAAAGCAAACGGGTATTCAATCTTTTTTTATGCATAACATGTACATACATGTCAAATTTTTTCAATGTTCAAGACAAAAAGAGGGAGATTTTTTAATTGACAATAGACATAGAAGGAAATTTTGAAATGAAAAAGAGGGAGATTTCTTTAATTTTTTTAAAACACTCCTTATTCTAAGAAAAATAGTTAAAAAATTGACAGGAGAAAGAGGTTGTCTACCACTCAAATTGGAAGAGTTTATATGTATGCGTATGAATATATTGAAACATTCAAACACGAGTTTTTTTTTTCATTATTAAACTATAATTTGAAGAAATGCCATGGCCCCTGGCATTTCAGCTATAGTTGCTCCTAATAGGGGCCAATCAAATTAATATGAGCAAACTTGATAAAAGACTACATAAAAATGCTACAGGCAAAGTTTGGTGACCATTCATCAATTATTTTGGTAGGAAATGATGTTCAAAGGTTTTTTTTTTCTTTTTTTTAGCTTTAGCTGCCCCTACAAGGGGCTAATAAAATGAATATAAGCGAACTTGATAAAAGACTACCCAAGAATGCTTCAGACAAAGTTTGGTGATCATCCATCAATTAGTTCTGTAGAAGAAGATGTCTAAAGGTTTTTTATTTTTAGCCCTAGAGACCCCTAAAAGGGGCAAATCAAATTTATATGAGCAAAGTTGATAAAAGACTACCTAAGAATGCTGCAGACAAAGTTTGGTGATTATCCACCAATTAGTGCTGAAATAGAAGACAGTTAAAGGTATTTCTATTTTTAGCTTTAGCGGCCCCTAAAAGGGGCGAATCAAATTAATATGAGCAAACTTGATAAAAGACTACCCAAGAATGCTACAGATAAAGTTTGGTGATCATCCATCAATTAGTTCTGTAGAAGAAGATGTCTAAAGGTTTTTCTATTTTTAGCCCTGGAGACCCCTAAAAAGGGGCAAATCAAATTTATATGAGCAAACTTGATAAAAGACTACCTAAGAATGCTACAGACAAAGTTTGGTGATCATCCATCTCTTAGTTCTGTAGTAGAAGATGTTTAAGGTTTTTCTATTTTTAGCTCTGTTGACCCCTAAAAGGGGCCAATTGAAATGACATGAGCAAATCTAAGTGTGACTGTCACAAGGATGCTACAGACCAAATTTTAAATAAATCTACCTAGTAGTTTCAGAGAAGAAGACGATTGTTGACGCATGACAACGGACGACGGACGCCGGGGTATCCCCCTTTGATACTAATAGCTCACCTTGAGCCTTCGGCTCTGGTGAACTAAAAAAAGTTCAAAGGATTTAGTAAAATCATTAAAATGATGAATATGCAATTAAAATTTTGTTCTAGAACATTTTATCTGCACAATCTTTTCTATAAGAATATGTAATATAGGTTATTGCATCTCACACTTGCCAACATTTCATCCATTATAATTATATTACATTTGAGCCGCGTCATGACAAAACCAGCATTGTGCGTTTGCGACCAGCATGGATCCAGATCAGCCTGCGCTTCCGCGCAGTCTGATCAGGATCCATGCTCTTCGCTTACAAACCCTATTACAAGTAGAGAAACTGATAGCGAACAGCATAGATCCTGATCAGACTACGCGGATGCGCAAGCTGGTCTGGATCCATGCTGGTCGCAAACGCATTACGTTGGGTTTGTCATGACACGGCTCATTTGTGGTTTGTTGTTTTGTATGATACTTTATAATATCAACATACTATCAACATACGTATTACATACCTACCATTACATTAAAGGAGTTTATATAAGTGTTTGTATGGATATTTGCTTGATTAAATCTTTTCAATATCATACATGAATAGAGTTTAATGGCCTTCGGATATCATAAACAAAAAAGTTTAATCTTGACAGTGTATGTCTCCAGTTAGTTTATTACATTAACGCATGGCAATTAAAAAAACATTTTTAAACGACATAGACCTTATTTGCCAATTATTCTAGATTTGACTGCTAATATGTTTGTCCTTTTTCTTTTCTTTTTTTTTTTTAGCTTTGCTTTCTTTGCTCTCTTGCTAGTTTTGTTTTTGTTGTGTGTGTGGTGTGTGGGGGTATTAACACATAAGAAGTAAGACAATAAATAGTGCATAATCTTTAAAACATGTTTTAAATAGTGTGCATTTTTCTTCTTCGTAAAATGCTTTTCTGGACAACTCATCAGTTATTACAAATTTCTCAACAAGTGACCGACTTGTCAAGAGCTTTTGAATTATTTCATGTGGTTAAACAATGATTCCTGCTGGTGACTAAAATAATGAACGAAAGACCACCTGAGATATCCCTTTACCATTAAGGCCGGAAAGCCGTCATATTGTTACAGTCATACAATGTTTTCAGGGTCAGTGGGACTGAAACAGTCACATAAATACCGCACAATCCTCAATCAAACGGCAGAAAACTGATCTATGCTGATTTGAAAATTCAAACTAATAATAAACCTCAATAACATTCTGACTTCTGATTCAACTAAATGTATGCAAAGTAAGAAACAACTGGGTAATAAACACTCAATACTGAAGGCTGAGGCTAATATATTCTTATCCACTGCACTCGTCGGCAATAGGATTTATTCACCTTTGAAGTTAACATGCTTTGAGTTATGCTTAAGACAAAAATGTGGGGCACAGAAATTAAACATGAAAATAACAACAAGCAATAACTCAAAAGGTATGAAATAAAGCACTGCAATTACTTCCTGAAAGAGTCAAAAACATTTTAGTTATAATCCTGACAAATGTCACAATGGTAAATAACAAAAGGTCATTACTTTCAGGCACATTATGAAATCAAGAAATCAAGAAATTAAGATTCTTAAGGAAATTATTTAGAAATGTCTCATATTTGTCTTTGATTATATCTTTATAATGCATTAAGGGCACGGTAGATCCGCAACATAATTAGACAAATGGTGTTTTAATGGTGCAAAAAATTGTGTGTGTTTTTATAACGAAAATTCATACACTTTATATACAGAAAGAAGAAATCGCCGGTCAATAAACGACCATGCTACACGGAATTGTCCAGGCCATTTTCCTTAAGTTAGAGCTCTGTGCCTTATTTTGCTGTATAGAAATATTTTGATATTTAAATTATCTACTGGATTACCACTTCATAATTTAAAATAAAAAAAAATGAAAGCATTTCTGAGGCATAATGGGCCTTTAAAATCATTGTGAATGCACTCCTCGTTAATGAGATTCATGGAGTTTCTGCGGGGGATTAGGAATTGCATAGATAAATAAATTCAGTATGCATATAATGAAATAAAATATGTTTCCCTTGAATGCATCTTTCTATCAAAACACTCAAATACATCAACTTCATGTATATATAAATAATAAAACTGTCAATATTTGAATATAAAAACATGACTGGTGTCTGCATGCAATCTTTTCAAAACTTTATTTATTCATTGAAACACAAAGGGTCTTTATTTTGTTTCTCAGTTTTTGTACTTGTAATATGGATGATAAGCGAACAGCATGGATCCTGATCAGACTGCGCGGATGCGCAGGCTGGTCTGGATCCATGCTGGTCGCAAACGCACTATGTTGGTTTTGTCATGACGCGGCTCAGATTGTGTCTGTAAATCAATGCTCCAACGGATGAATGTCCTTTTAAAACTTTGGATAAATCTTCTTCACTACTTATCTAGACATTTGTTTTCACACACTGAAGACTGCAGTCTATACTGATCATTAAATTCTGTGCTATAGACGTAAATGCATCAACATAAATTATCTAATGAGCCAAATCAACATAAAATTACTTTGAAGGTAGATAAAATCTATAAGCAGTTAAATTACTCAACGCATTGCAACCGTGTCTTTATTGCACACTGTTAGTGGCTACATGTTGTTCTGCTTAAAAATCTATAAATTCTCCAGATATTAACATTCATATAAAAAAATTGTTTCTTAGCTGCGCAGACAATGTCACACTTTACATCAGGTAGATGTTTTCTCATTAAGTAAATTGTTAACAATGACATAAACGACTGTAATCAACCAATGTTTCGCAAACCTGCGGGTCTTTTCAGATGTAGTACTTATTTGAAAAGCATCTAGTAAAAAAAAGAACTTTTTTGTCATAACTACACTTTATATTCTTGTTATAATGATTAAAGACAATGGGTCAATGGTCTGCATCAAATAACACAAGATGATGAGACAGAAAACGGACAAAGGAAAGAGCACAAGAGCGGAAATTGGATGGGGGGTACTAAAACAATTAAATAACAAGACCACGCACCAATCCTGAAGGATACAATTCAAATTTGATAAAGGTAAACAAAAAAGTGTAGAAGGGAAATTAAAGGATGAGGAAAGGGAGAAATAATTAAGGGGTAAGTATTTTCGATGCTTATCAGAATGTTATATTGCTAATTTAAGCTTGGGAAGCAAGGGGTACGATGGATACACACTGGATTTGAAGTCTCTATTAACTCTTGACAAATGCATCCGCCCTAGAACGTGAATTGATTAACAAGCAGGTAAATGAAGCGCATGTAAAGTTAACACCTAGGTGTGACATCACGAAATTTCACGGGTGAATAAATATAGTTATAAGTATAAATATGCACATTTATCCCGCAGGGAAACATATCAAATTTCGGACTCCTGCAGTTGGAACCTTGTTTTTCACTTATAAATCGGATATTTTTTTCTGGATTTGCGGCGCTTTCTATAATTGTAAGTATGTTATCAATTTCATGTCATGTTTTTACGTTAACTTAGATAATCTGAGCATTGTTTTAAATTTTTAACTCATCCATCTATATTTAAGTTACTTACATAACGTAATGTCATAAATTCTAAAGAAAGAAGTTGGTCTTGTCTTTCGTTACAAAAAGAGCATTTTTGCTAGGATCTTTATAAAATGAAATATTTATAAATTGAAACGTTAAAATTCTATTTTAAAATCGCTACTATAAGATACTTGGAGATAAATGCATTCATTATTGCCTTACTTTCAAAAATGGAATGTATAAACCTTTCGTAAAATACGACAATTTAAGAAGCGCAAATATTATCGTAATCGTAAATAAATTAAACGAACATTCAACGTACACTACAAATTAATGCTAATCTATTACATTATTACATATTCATTTCCACTTTTGCATTCATCGTAAATTGCTATATTTATGATGTTGGGAATTAAGGATCTGGACTGCCTAATTTAATCATTATTGAATGCAAAATTGTTCTGTTTTTGAATTCTTAAAGATATACTATACTCAGAAAATATACATAATTGTAACATAGTCTCTCTGTAAATATAAAAAAACATGCTATAACTTCACACAAAGTAGGTATGTCATGTTTAACACTCTACACACTATAGGTGGTCACAATATGAATATAAAGTTTCGTTAAACAAACTGGCAGCGTTTTTTTAAGATAAGACCAACTTTACTTGTCCTGTTAAAGAGAATGTAGCTTCCAATACATAGCTTATATATTCTTTTATATAGATAAGACGTATTCTGTAAGAATTTTATAGATTTAAATGCAGTTTTTTCATTACATTTTTCTTTTATGTAGAACTATTAAAGTTTTTAAAAGGCCAGAATATCAAGCAGTCGAAATGCAAATCAGTCATACAATATTAAATTATAAACTGTTTTAAAAGGTTTTACACGGTGTGAAAATAAATGCCATTGATGTATGTAGAGAGGAAATGATTTACTTTAACTTGGAAGTGCAATAATTGTTATTTTATTTTAACATTGAGATAACAAACTATCTAAAAGGGGGAGAACAGATTCAGTTTTATTGAGCCTGTTCATGAAAGATTATGGAAAGTCCAACATATTCCACATGCCCTAAAAGTAATGGATTAAGTGTCACGTGATAAAAACATATCGTTTTGTGAATATATATTGACATCACAATGTTTCTATTTATATAAAAATCATTGGATTAAAAGTGGCACTAAAACGGTCAAGAATAATAAGTTATAGTGAATGTAACGTTTGTGACAATTTTAAAATTTACATTGTGACATTGTGACAATTTAAATGCACCATTTATTTTTATTTCTTAAATATATATCTAAGATCAAATCGGAATATGATAGTTTTTTTTCAAAATGCGGCTAAAATGTTTTGATATGAACGTTCACATTTTTCAAAACATAAACCCTTTCAGTATATAATTATAACTTAAGATATCGGTACGTAAAAAGCGCAAACCTGTAAGTATAAATGAATACTCGAGTTTATATACTCAATTTGCATATAAATCACGCAATTATTTTATTCGAAATTATTCGCGTGGAACGTTAAGATGTGAAGTCTATAATAAAACGATAAAATCGAATTTCATTCTCAAATATTTAAATCAGAATTTGACATTTTAAATTTAATTTATTCAACAAGATACATAGATATACAAATGCTGTGATCTTTTCTCTTAGCGTTTTATTAAATTGAGAGCAACTTTGATTTTTAGGTGGATATTGTTTTCAATTACTTTACATTTTTTTATTTACGTCTGCCTTCTTAAATAGTTACTGTTAAAATAATCATCAAGAAAAAATATTTCAATTAATCAATTAGATTACATAATTGAAAAATAAGCGGTTTGTTAGAACGCTGATTTTCAAGATATTTTTTGTCATATCTTGGCAGTCGATTCATCTAACTTGCATTCTTTGATAACTAACCAGACCATTAACTACCAAATTTCTCTGCAAGTGACGCATGATTTCTGAATCAGCGGTGAAAGATAAATGACCATTAGATTCGAGGTTAGAGACGAATTGTCAAGATGAAATTTCACCTGGACTAAGGATCGAATAAGAAACCAACAAAATACAAATTGGATTGTTCCTCTATCGAACTAAAATGGTCGATTTAAAAAGCAGCAAATAGTTTATACCAAAATTAACATTTTTTTTATTAAATTGCAGAAATTTTCGGACTGGAATTTGAGCGACCATGAATATTAAAGTATGTATTGTACTACTTGCTGTGTGCGTTGCCATGGCAGCAGGGAGCTCGTTTAAAAGCGAAATACTGAGAAAATTGATGTAAGTATAACTCGAACGGTTCAAAAGATAAGACCTTTGAGCAAGTGCTCGAATACTATTTAATGAATTTGAAATGCAAAATGCACGTGCGTAAATAAGTCAGGCTATTTGACTAGAGGGTGTTTTCCAAAAAATGATCAACATACATATAGTATGTTCTTTATATAAAGAAAACACTTGACAAGGAGCACAGGCTCGTTTCAAATCAAATGTTATGCAAATCCCTTACATATATTACATATATTTAGGTCAAACAGTTAACCCGATCACTGAGAAAAAGGCATATCCCGTGACAGCGTTACTGCTGACTACCCGAGTCACTTATTTAGCATTGCTGTCTGTTTTATTATTAACCATTAACCTGTTGAATTTGAGAAAGTGCCCTGTTTTTTGAAAAGTTTAGTCCATTTTGTTTTTGTTTCATGGGTTTTGATATAACAGAAACAATGATCTACCAAGAGTAAAGTTTCAGGTTATGAATTACAAAAAATAAAACAAACTATTATCTCACTTAATCATGTCATTAATGAAATGTGAATAAGTGTCGTCGTTTATGTTCTCAAATTTAACAAACTTTGAATAATAATGGGTGTCATTTTGCAATGTCTAAAAAGCGACATGCCACCAAGTCCATATGCATGACTAAAATTAATCAATTGACGAGGGGGGAGTACGGACATACAAAACATTTGCCAAAACCAACGCCATAATGGTAACTTTACCATGTACTGTTTTGGCAAATGCAGTTATAGCAACAAGATCCCCTCCAACTTGTTTTTATCGTATTTGTTCCAATTAAATGCCGTTTTGCAGTATGTTCATGGCAATGTCTCAGGGCATAAATCTAAAATTGTACTCGCTTTACAAAACGAACATTAAATAATTGCCGACATCCTGACTCCTATAAAATCATAAGATTACTTGAATAGTTAATTTCCTTATATGAGTTCTTGGTGCACGCTTTCAGTCACAAGTCATCAAGACTTTGCTTGCTAAAACTGAGTCAGAAAATGACATATCAGACATCATCCACAATAAAGATACATTCAAATATCAGTTTTAATTTTATCGTTTTGTGAATTAACAAAACAAAAATATTAATTAATTTGATGTAGAATGAAAAGGCTGAATGAAGGGAAATCAGTACGCAAGGCCTTACCAAATGGTTTCCTTGGTAACAAAAGAATGCTCGGTGCCAACGGTGCTGGTCAGCAATCAATGGGTGATTTACAACAGGCGCTCACTTCTTTCAGGATGTCACTAATTGATTACGCAGGTAGGATGAAAAAATGTTAGAGCATTACATCATTTCATTTAACTTAATCATCATGTTACAAAAGTGACGAATTATTTATCGTTAAATATAAAGTAGCTTCATCTTATACGAAATATGCCACCGCTACCAAGTAATAATACAACATAGGCGGTCCCCTGGGCATATTATATGACAGATTTATATAAAGACATAGTACCTGTATGTAAGTTATTATAAAGGAGATAATTCTATAACTTAGTATACACGGTTTTGGTGAGGTATCATGTAAGTGTGGCCATGTTGTGACTACACGAGGAGTTATATGAGGGTGGCTTCATTTGGAGTGTGTGACTTGTAAGTGTGACAACGGTATGATTGTGGGAGGTAATAATTTGAAGTTTAGCTATGGTATGGCTACGCAAAGTATCTTTTTACTGTGGCAACGATGTGACTGCTCGAGGCTTCGTGTAAGTGTGGCTTCGATGTGACTAAGCGAGGTTATAAGCGAGAGTGGCTAAGAAATGACTGCCCGAGGTTTAATGTAAGTGTGGCAACGATTTAACTGCTCGAGGCTTCGTATAAGAGTGGCTTCGATGTTACTGCGCCTGGTTTTAAGTAAGAGTGGCTGCGAAGTGACTGCCCGAGGTTTCATGTAAATGTTGCTACGATGTGATGCGTGTATCAGTAAAGCAGTCCTATAGCATCTTATTATTCCAATAACTACAATTATCGAATGACAATTATCTTAGTTAAGAATATCAGGTAAATTTCTAATATAATTTTATACTCCTTGATATCCTATTTGCTTCAGATAAGTACGGGACAGACGCTGCTGTCAGATTAATAGACAGAATAGGGCGCCTCGTCGATGGTGTAGTCGCAGGTAAACAATTTAAAGCTCGTCTGCTCCAGAATCTGTGTAATGGACTTGGTCTGCTTTTGAAAAAAAGCTGTCTATTATCTTTTAAGGTCTTCTGTATGCAAAAAATGTTATATTCATGCAGTTTACCTTTAACATATCTTATTTCATACATTTTAACACAAACATATTTTACCTACAATCAATTCATTACAATGATGAAAAAGGATCAGATCAGAAAGCAGACAATGAAGTCAATAGATAAAGGTCTCGTCAGACTGCACGGACGAGCTAGTCGTCCTTTTTTTGGTCTGGTGACAAAGGGAAGTGATTATCGCTGCTGAGTTACAAAAATACAAAAGAAAATGTCAACATAATTTGTTTAGCCTTTACTTTACTTTACAGGAACCAATAGTGAATAATCGTTGCAAAAAGTAGGTCCAGACCAATATACATGTCCATAAAATCTGACCCTATTGGTGGCTGAATAATATATTAATTTTAAGTTCAAACTGCATGTAAATACCTGAAAGGGTGTATAAATTAACATAAAAATTCTGTTATCACTATGATTTGCTTATCTTTAAAAGGTTTATGTAACAAACAATTATGAAAGAGAAGAAATGTAGGATTGAAAATACTTTATGATATGTGATATATTTACACTTGGACAGAATATGTCAAAGTTGTTATTCTGTCCCAGATTTACACTAAAACTTTTTACAGATACAACAAATGATGGTGAAGGCACTGCAGATAATGCAGCCGAAAATGAAGGCACAACTGAAGCTACTGAAACCACTGTTAGTGAAATTACTGACAAACCTACTGAAAGCTATACTCCAGAACAAACTACTGAAGAAACTACCGAAAGAAATACAACTGAAACAAGTGAAGTAAGCACTGAACCAGATACTGAACCGGATGAAGACACTACTGATACCCCTGACGTTCCTGAAACTGCAGATCTTCTACGAGCACTTCTGAGAAATCTTAGATTGAACAGGAAAAAGTAGATTTTTCATTTGATGAGGGAAGCAAAAACTAAAACAGGTAACCGGTAGTTTCTGCAAAACAACTTGAATTTAATAATCCTTAACTTGCTGAACAGAACCGAAAATGACAAGGCATTGCCATCAGTATAGAATAAGGCAAACCTGCATATCCGAGCAGTGTGGCCTGGGTCTTAACTGTTGACTGATAAATTTTAAATTTTGAAATTAAATTCATCTTCATTTTCATCTTCCCAGAACTCCATAAAAAAGGAAGCTGGCAATACCTATTTAAGGAAATCTGGCAAGTCATGGGTAAATCATTCCTCTTATGTCTTTTTAAAACGAATTTCTTTTCCCATTTGGAAATATACGAGTATTTGTTTGTTTGTTTTTTGTTGATGTTTTTTTTGTTTGTTTTTTTGGTCACATTTGGAAATACGAGTATCTGTTTTTCTATCGACATAAAAAAGTATAACTGTCTCTTTTCAGAATGAGTACCGAATGTGATTAAACCTGGATATTGTGAAAAATAAAGTAAAATTATGTGAATTAACCCAATGACAGATAAGATAATGTATTTATGACATGCTTCAATTAATAAACGGCAGTTTTTTCTTCTGTATCTGCTTGCAATAAACTATCACTTAAATGAAATTAAATGAAACTATATAGCTACGTTTTCAATTATTACTTTATTTATTGTAGAACTTAGACGATAATAAAGTATTACCATACCTTCTTTTTGTACGTGTTTAAACTACTTCCGACATTGATTTATGTGTTTCAGTAATACATGAAATAAAAAAAAATAATCTTTAACGTCTGTGAAATCCGAAAACTAAAGAAAGGGTAGGGACCCATTTGATGTCATCATGAGCTATTTACCCACTATAATCGTAAATAAATGAAGTTGCTTTTCGAAACTAACTATCGGGAGACAAACTGAGGACTAAATACTTCATCGTACATTTTGGGGAATGACGTAAGGACGGGGGTAGTGATGTCTGTAAATGTGCGCAATGGTTAAGAAATGATTTTAATTGCATGCATTTTAACCGTCACAATATTAAATGGCCCTTCTTTATAAAAGACACAGAATTTAATACAATAGCTATGTCCATTTATCATTGCTTTCAAGAACTAGCATACTTAATTTAAAGCAAATTTTTAAATAAAAGAAATAAATAATTTACATGGACAAAAAATTGTCTATTATTTAAACTTGACCTTGCCCTTCAGTGGACACAATGTTACAGATGGACATTTGATCGCAGTTTAAAGAAAATACTTCATTGAGCATAGATTTACTAGTACGGATCCGAATGTCTTACATTTAACGAATAAAAGTAACTTTTTGGATGGGGGAACACCCACCACCAGCTGTTCTGGCAAAAGATGACCTCAGGTGCCCTTCCGTGGATTATTTTAGGCACAAATAGACAACCGAGTAGAGACATCGACGTCCCGTAAGAAATGAAAGAATCATGTCGGGAACGAACCCACAGCGGCGACGGGCAAATGGTTTGATGTGGATCTTAACCACTCGGCCAAGGGCGCCCAATTACTTTTTATAATCGCTTTTTTTTCTGTGAAAATTTAATCAAAGTTTGAAAACAAAAATCCTTCAAGGGGTATTACATTTATTCATAGTAAACCATGACATTTCACGAGTCTAGAACTGAAAAATAAAATTCTCCAATACCCATATTCTATTACATTGCAAAGTTTAAAATACTTCTATCTCAAATATAAAAAATTACTAGTACAAATGTTACTTTTCATCCCATAAAAGGTTTGTTTTTAGCGGCAAAACCAGACATTCATTTCGTTATTTTCGAGACAAAAACCATTAGTGCTCAACATCATTTACCGACGAATGAAAACACTCCAATTTCTAAGTAAATGCCCTTATTAATCACATTGACAGGCAAAGTTTGTCATTTATCTATTAAGTCGAACACCTAATAATTAATTAAGAGTTTGGAACGAAATGCACATTTGTTAACTGACTGTTGTAACCCCGCCTTATTATGACTACTGTCATTCAATTTATAGGCGAGAATTAAGTATATAAGCCGCTTTTTGTGACAGGGACGTTTTGTTTATTATCCGATGGAGAAAATAGAGACATACATTTTGGTCATTTTAAACAACTATCATTCATCAATAACAAATGAATGTTGTTTGCAATTTAAATATTTGTCAAATTCCATAGGCAGTCGGTAGGTGGCTTAGAAGTATCCAAACCACGCACCGACTGCCTGTGGTCAATTCATGCACAAAGTTAGAAACATGAATTTCAACTCCACTTTTCATATTGTTTAGAGATTATATGAGTATATTTCACAAACAAGAGTCTCAGAAGAAACTCAGGGTTACACAATTTAAATAATGTGCACTTACCGATGCTATTTATATATTGACTGACGTAATTGCTTTCTTTTCTCCACGCATTGTATTCCAAACAACTTTATTATAGGCTGGAAGCGTTCCAGCGGGGGTCACTAAGTAAGTTAGTTTCTAATGAGTGAAATATTAACAATATTTCTAAAGAGGCTCGTGAATGATTTTGTAAAACTTGTAAACACCCCTGAAATGATATTTTACTAAAATAAGGCTTCACAGCTAATTTAAAGATATACTATGCTCAAATTTGATATTGGAAATTATTGTTAATTGCTACACAGTGTCTTAGCAAATATAAAATAAACATGTTATGACACAAAGTACATACATGTATGTTATGCTTGAAACTCTACATACTATGGGTTGTCACAATATGATTGTATAGTGTCGTTTAAAAAAAGCTTGTTTTTCTTTTAAGAAAAGACCAACTTTACTTGATCTGTTAAAGAGAACGCACCTTCCGATACATAGTTTATTCATTCTTTTATTCAAATGAGACATATTCAGTAAGAAATTCATAGATTTCAATAATTTTCTAGGATTACAATATTTTACTCAATGATGAGCATAGTATATCATTTACTCAAGGTAGAGCATAGTATATCTTTAATTCTCATAGTTTATTTTAACTAATAATGTATATAAATATTGACTATTGTTTTTGTTTGTTTTTTTGGACGAGGGAGTCAGTTACCCTGCACCAACATTGAAATATTTAATGGTCATATTGCGATTTCCACCTTCACTTGCTGAGAAAAACCACAGGTGCCACCATCAGTTAGATAGCTGGAAAGCTTCTATTAATCAATTATAAATGATAAACAACATCTTTGTTATGCATCTTAGAAAATAGGCATTATGTGTGATATCATTATATAATTCTAGAGATTATAACAACAAAACCAATGAAAGTTATAAGAAACATGAGTCAGACACATCGTTTTAAAACGAAACAAAGTAAGATATTTCCAACATTGGCATATTCTACAATGATCTTGTCTGTGAGTGATATATATATATACGATTAAATAACAATGGTTGAAGTCCAGTGGATATTGGTTAAATTATGTTAAAAACATTGGAAATTATTAAGAGATTTAGTTAATATAATTAATATACGGAAGGACGGACAATCACAAACCGAACCGACGGTTTATGTGGTTTTCATGAATCATTTCATGTTTTATCAGGATTTTCAGATGAACAGACGGGCGGACGGAGGAAAAAGAAATCTAAAGGCAACCCATACATCTGTAATCTTAGATCTTATAGAACAGAAATGACAGCTACATTTAAGGTTGAATTTCAAAGCTGCTAGTAAATTGAAAATATCCATCTACGATCAGACCCAACCATTCGGAATAAAAGAACTAATAATATAAACCAGGTAGACAAAGTAAAAATAAAACTAAGCTACTGTAATTCATGTATTTGAAATTCTCAATCAATAAGAAGTTATTTAAATGTCTATTTATTTTCAACATCCATTATAATGCAACCCATAAAGCAAGTATATACGCTTGCTCTTATGGAGGTATCATCTGGGTGATTGTTTTCGATCCAAACCTCATCCCCCGCTTTCAATTGTGCAACAACTGTCGCAGAACCCTGGGCGTATCCTTGATTTACAGCAGAATATGCAAGAATTCCCCCTCCTATGTCAATTCCATTTTTCTTGAAGGGCATTTCAATGTCTTTTGTATGATGCGCAAGAATCGATCCCGAGAATATATAGATCCCCGAACGAGGAGCGACGAATAAGTCATGGGCACCGTGATACGCATTACCTAAATTCAGTGTTACAGAATCAAAGGGTATCTTTTGGTGGAGTCCTATATGCGTGAGGTCACCTGACATATGTGCTTGAAAAGCCACGGGGCCTTCAACATCTGCAAGAAATCTTTGTAGACGAATGATTCCTGTTGTAAAAAAGAGCTTATACATGTAAATATACCAATTCATAATTTTAAACCGTCGATAGTTTATTTCCTTTCATTCTCGAGTAACTGTGCTCAGGAAAAGCATCATTATAATTAAATATACAGAGCCAAAACTGTAAAATAAAACTCATTTAATCATATATATGATTACATAAATTTTCTTAACTGTGACCTAATTTTAGGACCACTGGGCTCGATTTCGATTTATTTGCCAATCCCAAATCTGCCGATGAATTTGCGGGTTTTCTTTGTCGGTTTTTGTTTTTTGTTTTTATTTTGTTGTTTTTGTTTTTGCTAATTTCAGGGTCTGATAATTCACATTCAAAATAAGCATAAGAACCTAATGTTTCTAATGTTCCTTTCGTCTGATTGTGCTTAACCTCAAGAATTAATGGTGCAGTTCATTTACACTATTATTACTCAACTGCTTTTCATGTATTTAAGAAGTGTTATTTGCACCTTAAAAAAATAAAACAAACAAAAACAACAAACAAGAGGGCCATGATGGCCCTGAGGTAGCTCACCTGTATATAGCCCCCCCCCCCACCACGCCCCCCCCCCCCCCCCAATGTTGCAGGGCCAATTTAACCCAAGGGCTTTTATTTGCACAAACTTGGTAGACACCCATAAGAAGATGTTTCATGCTAAACATCTAAGCTCTAGCTCATTGGGCTTTTTAAAAGAAGATTTTTTTAAAGTTTTTACTATACACATATAGTTAAAAACAATGACACACCTGGGGCCGGGCCAGTTATGACCCAAGGGCTTTTATTTGAACAAACTTTGTAGACACTTACTAGAAGATGTTTCATGCTTAAAATCTAAACTCTAGCTATTTGGGTTTTTTTCAAAGAAGATTTTTTAAGTTTTTGCTATACACATATAAGGAAAATCAATGACCCCCGGGGCGGTGCCAATTTTTACCCCAGGGCTTTTATTTGAACAAACTTGGTAGACACCTATTAGAACATGTTTGATGCTAAATATCTTAGCCATAGCTCTTCAAGTTCTTTAAAAGAAGATTTTTTAAGTTTTTACTATATCCATATAGGGAAAATCAATGACCCCCCGGGGCGGGGCCAATTTTGACCCCAGGGCTTTTATTTGAAAAAACTTGGTATACACTTATTAGAACATGTTTCATACTAAATATCTTAGCTCTAACTCTTTTGGTTCTTTAAAAGAAGATTTTTTAAGTTTTTACTATATGCATATAGGGAAAATCAATGACCCCCTGGGGCGGGGCAAATTTTGACCCTAGGGCTTTTATTTGAACAAACTTGGTAGACACCTATTAGAACATGTTTGATGCTCAATATCTTAGCCATAGCTCTTTGAGTTCTTTAAAAGAAGATTTTTTAAGTTTTTACTATATGCATATAGGGAAAATCAATGACCCCCTGGGGCGGGGCCAATTTTGACCCAAGGGCTTTTATTTGAACAAACTTGGTAGACACCCATTAGAACATGTTTCATGCTAAATATCTTAGCTCTAGCTCTTTGGGTTCTTTAAAAGAATATTTTTTTAAGTTTTTACTATATGCATATAGGGAAAATCAATGACCCCCCGGGACGGGGCCAATTTTGACCCCAGGGCTTTTATTTGAACAAAATTGGTAGACACTTACTAGAAGATGTTTCATGCCAAATATCTAAGCTCTAGCTGTTATGGTTTTTTTAAAAGAAGATATTTTTTTTTTCTTTCGGTTGCCATGGCAACCAGAGTTCTGCATGGAATTTAATAATAAGGTGACCACCAAAGGAACATTCCTGTGAAGTTTGGATGAAATTGGCTTAGTGGTTTATGAGGAGATGTCATTTAAAGTAAAAGTTTACGGACGGACGCCGGACGAAAAGCGATCACAAAAGCTCACCCTGTCACTTTGTGACAGGTGAGCTAAAAAATGATGGTCCTGCAGAGTCGTAGAAGAGCACTCCACTAAATGTATAAAATACATCAAAGTGCTGCAGCACTGAATGCGACGGACATGCAACCGGAGAGACATTAATTAAGGCTTCTTTTAGAAAAAAAAACAAAACAAAAACAAAATATATAACAGAGAAAATTTGTTCCATACAAGTTCGAGATTTGTAGAGCAATATATTTTGTGTCCCAAATTGATATAATTCAGATTTTCTACTTTCAAGCACTTAAATACAGAATGAAATTTATGCCTAAAAACTCTGGTCAAACTTGTAAATCAGTGTCCTTATCGATTTATTCTAAGAAATGATATGTAAGTAGAAAAAAAACTATCAACGAAATATTTCTAGAATAAATCCAGGCAAATAAACTTCAAACACAATACATTATACATTTGAGAATGCTATTTAGATTTGCTTCGTGTTATATCATAGTGGGCATACAGACACAATAAAATATAAGTCATTTGTATTTTTATTTCTCTTGGATATGTCTCATTAAAAAAAAATTGGTTAAAATCATCAGCAATTAATAGTGTATTTCTTAAGATTTTTTTTTATTTACAAGGTAAAGATGTAGAGGCCAGAGCACATCGTTTTTATTTTATTTAAATGTCACTTAAGCACTACAGTGTTTAGTTGTCCTTTTCAACTTCACACTAAATTCCATTTTTTCAACTTGTTTGTTTCTTACAATTGTATAGCATTTTCTAAAAGTATTGGCATTACAATCCGCTGGTTTATTAATTACATGTTTAATGTGTACTTCCTAATCGCCTGTCCAAAAATCAGAACAGGTGAAGAAGAATCTATTTTTAGAATAGCGAAGGTTAACTCATATCATGACCTAGTAAAATATGTAACAAACCCAACAAGAATCGGAAGTAGAACTGATATTATAACTTCCTTACCATGAAAGACTACATGGCGGTAAAGTGTCTTACGTGCATTTTCAAAATAGATATTTATACTAGCCATTGTACTGTATCTAATATATTAATAACTGCTGAATATTCAGCTAAACCCGCGGTATGAGTCACGAAAATAGTTCTTCTTTTATTAATGCGCGAGTCATCCTAGAGTCACGAAAAACTTTTGATTTGTTAATAATAATGTTTTGTATAATTGTAGAAATATTTATTTCCTCACTAAATAATGTCTTGGAACTCAGAGGTTACACCTTTATTGTAGTATAATTTGCTGTCCTACTTTTTCGACAGCGGTAAATCGTTTCAGCAGTAATTTGCATATTGCGCAATAATACTACGGGACTACAACGTTTTTATCAATAATATACGTTCATATTTTAACTTGGATAACTTAATTTGAAATTGAAAAGGCTAAATATGGAAGACATTAAGATATCCAGACAAAGTATGGGAGTTTTGAAGGATCAAATTCATGTACTATTTCTTGGGCTGTTAATTGGTTTAGGACACATTGCGCGAGTGTAGCCAACGAAATCCCATGTGTAGATGACTTAGCTCTGAACGCACCTGAGGGCGCGTCCGTCGCAAAAATGATTTAAAAAGCTCAGAATTTTACCTATTGAGGCCTTATTCATTTCAAACTTTGTTTTATCTCCGTGGTCGGTTATGTTATTATCGTGCGTCTCCATCGGGTCAGATGGGTGAATAATGTTGCCTTCTGGATTTTTCAATATCTCTACTTGCGTCTCCAAAACATTTATCCAACTTTTCTGTGCAGCGATATCTTCGTGCAATGACGCAATCACCGCATTTTGGGTATTTACTGAAAGTCAGTAAAAAAATATGAAAAATAAGTTACACAAAGGAATTTACCGTCTACCATTTTTGGAATTGTCCTATTTCAATTTTACGATAATCAAAGTACTACTAAGTTAGTCTCCAAACATAATGGAACCCAATCAGTTTGCACTTGTGTGCTAGCAGGCCCTGCACTAATCTGGCGGCAAAGGCTAGTCACCTTTCGATTCTAATAAAACGTCAGTTAATTTCATAAAATAATGTCACACTTTAAAGGTCATATGGGATCTTTCCTGCTTTAATGGTTTGGGGAAAATTCAGTTGCTCCTCTATGCATTATTTCAGGCAAATACGTGAATCCGACAAGATCCACCGTCCACCGTAATCTTAAGCTTCCTCACATGAAATATCCAACGTTTCTAACGTGGATGTTTATAAAACGATTAAAACAAGACAATGTTCTGGTAAATAGCTTAAAGGCTGACAAAACTTAGGACTTAACAGTATATTGTTCTTGTTCTATTGAGACCACACGTGCATATACTTGACAATGTGGCAATTTCATGCAATCATTATTGAATTTCATGCGAGGACTTGTTATATCTGGTTGTTTTCACTGTTCTTTGTCTACTCGTCCATGAACAAATGCAATTTAACCACAACCTATTAGAAACGATTATGCTCAGTATAGACACAGGCGATTTTACATACATGTATTCATGAAGTCTTTCAAGGCTCTTTACACTGTCAAAAAGCCTATTGCAATCCCTGACTTTGAAATATACTGTCCAAATTAAAGCATGAACAATCCATTATAAACAAAATCATCAGGTTAATTAACAGATTAGGATCATTGCCAATAGTTCGATACTTTCCGTGTCTTATACAAAAAAAATATTCTCAACACAGAATATTTAACACAGATAATTAATTGAACGAAATGTAAGGATTTCTTATTTTTCGATGATGAGATACTGACCTTGGTCCTGAAGTTGTTTGAGAATGAACAGAATGTTTTGGTCGGACTCTGCTTGGGTCACCATTAAACACCCACACATGAAAATGATCAAACCTACAGAAAATAACTTCATCTTGAACGAAAAGAATGTATTTTTCTATCTCGTTCAGTCCATGGCACAAGGAGATAAATGTGTGAAAAGAAAAGAGATAAGAAATTAAAATTGAGAATGACATAGATAGATAAAATTGAATGATATTCATGTATGCCAGACTTTAATTCAGACTAAGCATTGGCGGTTTTGCTATTAACTTACGGTGCCAAATATAATATAAGGCCTTCTAGATCATAAACGAAAACAAATTTGCGCTAGTTTCAGCCGTTTGGCATATGAAAAACAAATTAAAGAAAATATGACAAAACATCCATTAGAAATCAGTAAAGTTCGTCACTTATGTAAGCGTCGGTATGACAATTACAAACAGGCGTTGATAAAATAAGGTACAAATTTTGATTATAAATTATAATTGTAAATTCTGTATTCTCCATTTTCATGTTCTGTTTAAGTTGGTGCTGGGGGGGGGACAAGAACAAGCTCTTTATTTTTAATTTTGCCGTTTTGGCGGTTCTATAGGGATTCCTTATTTTAGGAACAGTGACTTATTCATGTAATGTTTCGGTATAAAAACGAAACAAAAAACATCGCACTGAAATTATCGGAGATTGGCATTATCTTTTAAATGGAATTTCTATTATACCATGCAAACAAAAGTTTAAAAATAGCACTCAAGCATAAACCAGCAAGGTACCCGGGATAGGAACCTGGTTTGCGACTGAGAATCATTTGGTAATGTTAGCGGACGTAACGTTATGTATGTAAGTGATATTAAGATTGTTATCCTCTGACGTAACTAAGACTATGAGTAAACGAATGACGTGGGCAGGATCTTTCAAATTGAAAGACCCGGATATGTGGTATAAAACCAATACGTGTGCACAATATTTCAATTACATATTGATATTATGATAATGTCTCCAAATTGTCTTTAAACTTACTTTGACAACCTATTCAGTCTTGCGTCTTATCTGAAAACAGCTCTTAAATGTCCGTCAAACATGAAAGACATTTACAGTCTTTTGTCGTCTTGTCTGTAATATGCAGGTTTCATAACCTCTGATACCCTTTCACAATTCCATTTATTCAATTTCCATCCTAATAACAACAGTTATGTCCTATAATATCATACAATTAAAATACTTTAGACATGTAGTAAGTCGTTAGTAAGTATTGGATCGATGTTTAAAGATAACTCCTTCCGGGATTGCGTATTTAGTAAGTGGGATGTTCGTACGAAGTGGGCCTTTCTAAGAAACCATTCTTAAAAGATCCGTTTCCTTAAGAAAACAAACACTGATGCAATTTCATACAGTCTCTTCAGCTGCTTGTATTCAGTTTTCAAGTGCTAATAATAACGTCCTATAAGAATTTTTTCAATAATTAAAGGGATACCAAGGTACTCTTCTTAAAGGTAATTTTTCTTACTTAATTTAACATACTTAATTTAGTTTAATACAGGTGTCAATTTATATAAAAATAGACAACTCAGTTGCTATATATCAATTTATTTGTTAATGTAAGCAATAAATATTTTTATAATTGACAGGTCTAATTCCTTTTTTTTATTTTCTTTCTTTTTTTGCCGTTGTTATTATTCTTTTTATAACCTTCGTAGAACATGTAGAACCTCTCAATTTTCCGTGTTGTGATGTCGCTTTCGACTAAATTTCGTCGGACAATGGATAGAGTGACACTTATTTTTGTTTTATAACAAAAGCTATTGATTGAGTACATGCAAGATAAATATGTAACAAGTATTTTATTTTATGTTAATTCAAATATTTATGCTTTTTTGTAAGTTATGTTTTCTTCAAGTGTGCAAGCGCTTACATTTGCATTACAACCTTACTGTTTATATAATTTCAATGAATTTAGCATACTATCAGCGTCAGCGGTCTTCTAAAACCTCGTAACTGCAAAATATCAACTTTCCAAAAACCGAAAAAAATACTGTATTTCATTTAAAACGGGCTATATGAGCGCAAAATCAACATGACAAACTCCCTTGTCTATGATATATTTGATAAATTAACTGAGCATCAAAATTTTCAATTAAAAAAAACACTGTGTGACACGTACGAGGTTTTATAACTGGTGTGAATGCAGTTACGAGATATACGGCTTTTTAATTTTTAATAATCGTGATATACGTGTTTTTAGAAGGTATATCAACTAAGTATTAAGTGGCATTCCATTGTTATTTTAACATTATAGTTGCTTATTATATCACATTTTAGCACGGATTTAAATCTCTCTTCGTCGGTACTCAACAAATTGTACACAACTGTTACTGTATACTAGTTTAGATCTATACTATTCTTATCCAAATTATTATTTAGATTTTGGCATTAATATTTAAGGACAATCAATTTTAGTTTTTTTTAAATCAAACAACAGTTGAACCTTTCAAACATTTAATACGATACGAATACTAAGTATTTTTTTCTTAGTATAAAAGAAAATGTAACATGAACAATAGATAAATGTCAAAGATGCTCTTTGGAATATTTCAACATATAATGCATTATGATAATCATTTAATTCATTTACCTTGAAGAAAATGAAAAAAAACTGTTAAAGACGCAATGTTCATTGAACCATTTAAACATATTAAACGAAATGAAACTTGAACGATGATGTCAAGGTAAATGTCATTTGATGTCTCTAATACTCCTAGTTAGCTGGGTGCGAACATCAGTTGGACCATTTACATACATAATTTGGTACGATTATCATTTAATAAAATTAACTTTAACAATAAAAAAAAAACAACAATTAAACTTACATATTATGCAAATGTCATGTCACTAAATAATGCTTTTAACATTTGTATTATCTAGTGTTCATCACAATCAATTATGATTTTGTATTTCAGTTACTTTACTCAATATAAAACAACTTATTGCAATTAAGCATACGTGCTTCAATATATATTTGAATCGTATGTCAGTTATCTTGCTTGAGATTGTCATAAAAACTATGATAATCTTTTGATATCACGGTCCTTCAATTGTTGTAGATGCGTATACTTTGTAGCTTTGATAGACGATGGATCGGTGGCTGCTTTGCCTACGCTCTCAACATTTGGTATAGCGGTTCGCGTTGCGCGACGTGGCATATCAATGAACTATTCGTTATAACTTAGTTTATATTGTATCTGTCCTGATGGAGAGTACTTCATCACCCTAAGATCTGTTACGACTCGGTCACCCTTACTGCTTCCAGGTCTGATCGAACTATAATAGTTCAGAGAACTGTATGATTTAAAGAAGTCGAAAGCCAGATATTTCACTTCGTATGGTTGCGACAGTCTAGCTTCTCCAATACATTCTACATAATTTTGAAGAATATATATATTTCTTTTACGCAACCTTCGTTCGATCATACTGTGGACGCTGTCCACCTCCATCTGGGTGTGGCCCTTTTCAAGAAGTTTCTGCGTCATAACTATTTTATGTTTGATTGCAAATAACAGCAATGTATTAGCTAGTGTAACATTTCGGTTTTGGTACCCACATCCGTTACTGTAAGCTACAATTGATTCTAAACCAGGTTTTAACAAGTTGCTTAGATAGTCATAAACACAGCTTGCAAAAGCGTCGGCTGTTAGCCCATACTCTCCCTCGTGCCAAAAATAGCACGTGACGTGTTTAGTTGCTACATCGTAAACTGTGTAGTTATAGCATGCCAACTTCGTTTTATAGTATAGGGCACTGGCCTCCAGACGTGGGCAGAGCAAGACTGCCTGCGTATCAATTGTGATGACTTTAAGTTTCTTGTCTACTAATGCTATATCTTTATCCTTCTCTTTCTCATTCCTAGCTTCATCTTTTCTTTCAATGTGCAATCTGTATTCCTCTTCTGAGAGATTTTTAGTTTCATGAGAACAACAAGTGTTGCATTGATCTTTACGCGGCTTAACAATTGAAAGATTCAAACAATTGAATACTTCCTTGAAGGTTATAATACCTACGATAGTTTTATCATTGTTTCGACAATCCTGTTGGTAAACTCTATATAGATCCATCACCGTATTGAAGACTGGTTCGATATATGGTTTCATAGAACTGGACCGACAATAATGTGATGGCATCTTTGGTAAATTAGCTAAAAACGTCTCTACGTGTGCTCTAGCTGGCGAATCTATTTTCTTTGGAATATCATCACGGCTTTCATCTGGTATCCCGGTTATATTAACCCGATTCACCCAATCATATACCATATATTCGCCAATACCCAGAGTTGATATAAACATGCTCTTGCAGACTGGAACCCGTGTCTCTCCAAACTTTAGGTTGTATTTAAAAGTATGTTTTCTGCGTCCGCCAGCTTCTCCTGTACGCCTCTTGGGGATACACATATCAACAAATCCTACTACATACATCTTTTTTTCTTGCCAATTCATATTTTTCCAGAAACTATTGAATATCTCTTGTCTTTGATTTTCACTTATAGTGGTACAACGGGGTGATTTTTCACATCGTTTAGAACATGTTCTTTCAGACATTATTCGTTCATTTCTTTCCTTGCAAAACACATGTTTCCCGTGTTCATTTCTTGCATAGCCTTTGTACTTTTTCCCGTTCATTCTAAGGTTCTTTTGAACATTTTTTCCCAAGAACTTACCTTGGCTTCTCCCTTTTTCGATCTTACTTTACGTATATTTGAGTTTAAATCTGTATCAACAATCTCTTCATGATCTATATTTTCAAATACGACAGTTTCACCTTCCTTGACAATTTTTGTATTTTATATTGTTTACCTGTGAAGTATTCTGTTACAGATTTTGTTCTTCACTGTAATCAATATTCTCATCACTGTCATACTGTTGGTTTCTTGTCTGTGGTGGTTCCCAGTCTTTGTCTGTAACATCATCATCATAGTCATACAATTATTCTTCCATTTCATCTAAAGTACTTGTGTGGCTATCAGAATCTTCATTGTTATTAATGTCTAAACCTTTTTTCTTATTTATGACATCATCTTGATTAGTTTCTTCACCTATGTTTTCCATTACTTTTTGTGGACCATTAGCATTGTCAATTACTTTTATTTCTGTTCCTTGAATTTGTAAAGTAATGTGGCTTGAATTTTGATCAGCTTCACCATGGGAGTTATATTTAGCTGTCCTATTAGAAATAGTTTTGTCGTTTCTCCCACTGGAGTTTAAGTGATCTTTTTCAGAATCATTAGGGGACTCATTTGTTTCCTCTAAGCTTTCATCATTGCAGTCTGTCTTAACCAGCTTTCTCTGTATGATTTTTTCAAGAGCTAGCTGCACATGTATCTACGCTTAGTAGCCATGTTTAATGATTAGCTGTAGTGCGACCAGGTTCACAAAGGTTACAGTGAATGCCGTTTTCTTGTAAATCGTTAAGATGTGAGTAGCTAAGTGCCTCGTCTGGGAACGTTGGATGAATGCATGTTAAGTGAAAGTATCTTGAGCAATCATCAAAAAGGCACCTTACGAAATATCGTCCGTTTGGTAGAGTAATCAAATAAGGTCTAACTTCAATATTCTGTTGCAACATATGTATAAGGACGTTTGTATCCGGCTTATATTGGCATATATGACATTTGTATTCAAGAAGTTGCGTTTCTTCTGTTGATTCTGTGTCACTATCTCCTGACATGACAAGTTGAGATAGCTGAAAATAATGGAAAATATTTTGTTATCTACTATTATATAAAATACTTTTATTATGTTTTATATTATTAAGAATAATTTCGCCTTAATGTCCAAGGACAAAAACAATCTTAATCAATTCGGGTCTGCTTTCATAAATTTTCTTAGTTGCGTTACTTCAAGTTATATTAAATTATGTCTGATGAAATGAGAATTATTTAAAAGACTTACCAGCTTTAAAAACAAGAAATATACATTTATATTCCTATATTTAGAGACACTGTGTATAATTATGTTTGTGCTACGTACGGTATAAGTGTGGTGTTTAAAATACATAAAATGACGTCATTCAAAATAGTTAAATTTACGTTATAAACTATCTACCCAAATAACCTTGAGCGCAAACTACCAATATCATAGAATAATTTTGATGTCATTCCGACTCCTGTTAAGTTCTAAAATCTCGTAACTGACAAAAGCAAATAAAATATAGTCTATACAAAAAAATTCTAAAATCCCGGATATGCATTTAATCATATTAAAACTAACATTAAGAGTAAGTTTTGCACATTTCTAATTTTAAAAACAGTATTTTATTCTATCAAAATATAACAGTGGAAGGGAAAAATTCCGTTGTTTATTTTAGTAAGAGTAAAATACGTTTTAAAAGCAGTCTGTTTCTTTATTTGCAAAATTAAAGTCGATTTTCTCATTTTAATTGCATATATATAGTAATCCTATAACGTAATATGAAAAAACATGGACTTATATATAACATACTTGCCTTTGTGTAGACGTTTCTTTGAGTTTTCTAGAGTTTTCTGAGACTTCCTCCGGTTTGCAAAATTCTGTGCAGTTACGTGGTTTTAGAAGAACAAAATTTGATCCAATCTGTATACGTGATTTTATCACGTGTGAATAAATAACGTTTCTGATTGGCTATAACCACGGGTACTTTTGCAAAATAAGCGGGAATTAAAATTGATTATATAATATAATAAGCCGAAAAAACAAATTTTGTCGAAATTGCACTTACGGGGTTTTAGAAGATTTAAATCCTCCATTTATTATGGCACTGTTCTTTTACTTATCATGCGTGTGCAAATGCATTTTCGACGTTGACATGAGGTATAATACTGTACATTTTCCAGGTACATATTGAATTTATTAAGACGTATCCAAATGGCGTAACCCCATCCTTTTAAGTCCTTTTCTTTCCTATCAGAACATTCTCTTCAACTGTCGTGACAAATGTACTCTTCATATCGTTTTAACATTTTATTGGTATTTTCTTTAGCGGCCAGTTTTTAACAATTTTGCCTACCTTTACAGAAAAATGAAGTCATTGCAAAACTTAACAGCAGACCTAAAAATGAAGGGATGGACAAGAGAAAAAATCGGCTTTGCATTATCAGCACTTGCGTTATCAATAGGCTCCCTTGCGCTTTTTACAGATCATTGGTTTGAAGGAAAAGGTTTCACTGGCTCATGGAACGCTGGTTTTATCAAAATGTGCGCAATGACTTGTATTAGTTACCGAGGTATATCTATAGATAAAGCAATAAATTATATAGTAAATCGAATGGAAGAAAATGTATGAGCGCAAGCCATTTAAATATTTTCAGGAAAACGTATATTTTCAAATATCTTTCTAGAGAATGACTACCTGGATAGCTTGTTAAAATTTAATTTTGTATTTCGGTGATATGTCGATATATACTTATCAATACAATAATATATATATTGTATTTTACATTATTGCTTTTGATAGTTGATATATTTGAAACAATTGACAAACTTCTCTGAAATTAGCAGTTAAAGCTTCAAACACCTTTATTTAGGTAACGACGATAACGTTTATGATCCACTAAAACTACATTTGGTACTTAATAATGTCAACGCCTTGAAAACCGGTAGTCAGGTCGTTATTCTCGAGAATGATCTGTAAAGGAAACATGTTCCTGTAAATATTTGTAATGCTAGTTGAAGTAAAATATCAAAAATAGCAGCCATATACCCTTATTCATTTCTTTGAATTACTATTAAATATTTTGGTCCGTTTTCCGACCTTAGCTTTGCACAGATTCGGACTTAATTTGAATAATAAGACGCATTCCTGCGGGGTTTATTCCACATTCCTTAGTAACTTGAAAACGTCTGCCCCCCACACACACACACACACACGCGTGCACGCACGCACGCACACACACAAAGCACTAGCTCACTCAATAACTGAAGAAAGGTTAAACAAAATTTGAAAAATCCTAAAAGTGCTTAATTTATTAGTAATAGTAAAGGCTTATACTGAAAGGGAAAGGCTTTAAGAGTGTCAAACACAAAGGGCCAATTATTCTAATTGCAAGTTTCTTAAATGATTCTAGTTGTAAGGTTTTCTTCAAAAACAATATTTATACAGCATCTATTCGCTTTTCAGCTCTCACCTGACACGTGTGTGATATCATTAAAACTGTATTGATTGAAATAAAAAAGAAAGAAAAACAAAAACAAAACAAAAACTTGTTTCATGAAAATCTATATCATTTCAGATGTGCTCTCTATATTTGACTCGTTTAGTGGGAAAAATACGGCAACGATATATGTTTTCTGTGTCATTTTCATCATTTACTTACCACTAATATGGTTATTCTGCTCAGTAGCAATGAAAGGGTACAGCATGATGAAACGCCCATCAACCGGACGTGACGCATATGCGGTAGTGTTCATCTGGTTCTCGGGTAAGAAATTATGCGTACCGTTTTTTATGGTGGGAAACGACGTTTAACACATGACCCGATGAAAAATGCTGAAGAAAATTCTTAAAGGTCATATTATCAGTCATATCGGTGTTTAAAGAATATCTTATATAATACTGTATGGATTTTCTTCAAAAAAAAGTTCATAATGCTTTACTTAGGAAGCTGTATCAATATCTGTTATCTACGTTGTGTTAAGTTAACTTTCAATATTTTACAATCTATTCCTATTCAGTTGATAAAATTCTTCGAATGGCTTGCAAAAAGATTTATTCTACTGAAAGGTGTGTTCGGTGTCAAGTTTACTTGAAAAGTAGTATTTATTCAAGAGATTCGCTATTATAGTGATGATTGACCAATGATTGCAAAATGAAAAATGTGCATGTAATGGGTGTTATATAAAACATTATTATTTGTAAAAAGACTGCCACATATATTTTTTATTTAAAATTTGAACATTACTGATACATTCCGAGGGATATTTATAGAAATTTATGTTGTCATCTGAATTATTAAAATATAAAATTGAAGATAACTATGGCAACATGTCAAGTTATTTTGATATTTACCTGAGCACTACTCAGATGGGTACAATGTCACTTGACACTATTTAGAAAGAATATGTAAAATCAAAAAGCTTTTTTATCAGTAACAAACTAGGAAAATACTTTATCGAGATGGATAGAAAAAAAGTTTGCACCAACACTCCCTTTATTTCTTAATTGTGGCCACACCACGTGGCATTGAAAAATATTGCAGTCTGAGCAGCACACGAACCCGGGACCCTTGGAATACCTTATCACATTTCTACGGACTGAGCTATTCAAAACTTTACCCTTAATTAGTTCATAAACTGACGGTACAATATTGCAGCTACTATCTTGCATTTTCGCACAATTTGAGCACGTTTGGCCAGATACATGTTTTTTAGAATGTACTTCCACCTTGCTTGTTTAAACGGGCCGATTATTTTAATAAATCGTTACACACTAAATTCACAGAAAGGTGTTTTTTTTTTCAACTCCACACTATGATAATAAAGCTGAGACTATTGGGGGGGCAGCCGCACCCAATTAAAATAACCGTTCGTCAAATCTTACTGCCCCCGGCGCTAATCAGGCTCAAAAAATAGTACCTTGAATATTTTTCTAAGCTGATCATCACCATCAAAGACATTTAAATATGAAAAATATTTTCAATTTTTTTAAAAATTTTCATATCCTGCAATTTGTTAAAAGATAATAAATTCTCCCGAAAATTTTTGTTTGTTATTTTTTTCAAAATCACTAAATCCGTGGACGTCATACTGCCTGCGGTAATCAGGTTTAGGCATACCGTACGTTGGTAAATAAATAGTTCTTGGTAATAAAAACCCCTTTCTATTATAAATAACTTTATAACAATATTTTTTAAATACAAAAAGCATAAATCAAAAATTTTATAGAATAAATGCTTTAATTATGGCAAAATTATCCTTTTATTATTTTGATAACAACAATTTTCCAATTAAACTACGCAGCGACCAAACTGTTTTATGACGGGTCATTAACTAGAACGTTTGCAACACCGTAGCATGTTCTTTGTTGTTATTAAACCATTAATAGTCCTTAATATTTTTTTAAAGATAAATAATGGAAAAAACTGTCGCTTACATCAGAGACATGGATAATGCTTGCGTGATAACTAAGGGAAAAAACTAACTTTATTAGTACACCTTTAGGAGGCTTACGCGGAAAACGCTCATTAAAACCGCTATATCATATAGCTGTTAGTAAATATTTGCATACATTTTAGAACTAAAAATTCACTAATGGTGATGAACATATAGTTTGAAAACATTTATATTCTTAAACCATGTATCGCCGAAAAAAAAACTATTTTAACTACAAAATCCGTAAGGACCCCCACAAAATTTCACCACAAGCATTACATTTAATATTAGCAAAATAAAAAAAAAAGCAATACTTATATTTTCATCTTACATAATTCATTAATTCAAACTTTTAACATTAAAAAAGTATCTTTTAAAAATATGTCTGGCAAATTGACAGATCCCTACTCTGATCTTTTATTGTAAAGGAATAAATTTAAACATGTGCTCTTTTGTTAGGAATATTTTTGTAGTGAATGTCTTAATATATCCACTAATCTCCATTATTAGAATTAGACAGGTCAGGGATTTATACAACCAGTAGTTTAGTTAAATCTACGCTCAATTTTAATCCCAATAGAAACATTCAAATATTTGGGGTAAAAAACATGACCAAAGTACCTAGTAGTCGTTTTACCCGGTGGTGAGTCCCATTAAACTGATTATAGACTCGAATAGAAAAACACCAAATAGAAACATGGTGTTTAACGGTACAACAAAAAATCGGAAGTAAAGTGAACAGTTAAATGACAGAAATATGTGGTAAAATATGTTTTAACAAGGAAATTTAATTATTTCAGAGAAAGACGCAAAGATCAGTCTTCAATCAAATGAATTTGACCCCGTATTGTGTAATTAGAAAGTTTATTCAATTCTAGGGCAAACGAATCAAAATCTGATAGTCCATGTGTAATAAAATTTTCAATACAGATTATGAGATACATAAAAAATATTAAAGAATAAGAAAGCTTTAAAAAAAACAAACAAAAAAAAAAAACACAAAAAAACGCCATATATATACGAATGACTTACAGTCGAGCATCGGAAATTTCATCAACATATCTTACGAAATTTTAAATTGAAAACGATATTTTGCGCGCGCTGAAGTTGATTTTATTTTTATTTGAAAAATAAAAAAAAGGGAAGTTATTTTTGTGTTCTTAAAAAAATTAATTGCCGGCCCATAAACCCGAATTTGTTTTCATTTTACAAACAATTGAAAAATTACTAAGAAAATATGTTTGTAGTTTTTTTTTTTTTGTTTTTCAACAAGAGTGTGTGTTTTTAAGGGCATTTATTCCGGCACCGGGAATAAACCATATGTCCGAGATTATAGCTCGGGGACGTCCCCTTTTTCAAGGGCAGAAATCTTTCCTGGTAGCCCTTTCTTCGTTCGTTAGTGGTAAAGGGAGCGAAACAGTACTGGTCAAGGCTCAACTTCCTACTAAAGGACAACAAAAACGGCATTTATTTAGCGCCAAACCCTCCAGAGTAAGTTTCGACAAGTCAACCCCAATCACCTCTGCGTACTTTGAGATACTTGAACCTTTGACCTGCCGTTGTGCCCTTTCCGCGACTTGCATACCTCTGGGGGATTTTGGAAAGTTTCAAAAAAACCACTTTTTTAAAACACGCTTTTATAAACCATTTCATTAGCACTGACGCTTCATGTTCTCATCATTGGGGAAAATTGGTCCGACAAGGAAAAACCTACGGTTATAACAGCACACCCCTTTAACAAACAGAATTTACCGCAAGTAATATATTTCAATAGCTAGTGGGTTTTAAAAATCTAATCGGATTAAACTTTACCATAAGTTTGGTTGGTGTTGGGCCCGGTAAAAAAAAAAAGATATAAACTTCCTGATCAAATTTTCAACCTTGGGGGTTGATTAATTTTGAATAAAGCCTTTGCGTATGTATTTTTCAAGAAAAATTAAGCCTTTAATATTTTCCCCGGAAGCCGTCCAAAGTTCAGCGACGATAATGAAATAGAAAATTTTCCTAAAACTGATTTAATTGAGATTTGCTTCGGGGAAAACCCAACTTTCCTGATCCGTAGAGCATGAATATTAATACTCATCCACAAGACAGTGTCTTATTGATCTCAATTATGGTACATGTAAATATGTATTAATTTTTATGTTCAATTAAAATGTTGCTTAACTTTGCAGTTGTTATTATCATTCAATGATATTAAAAATGACATAAAGTATTTATGATGAACAGTCCTAGAATTTTTTGATAAGGAACCGTTCAGTTTTGTAAAATGGTATTATTGATCTTATAATGAACAGTCTCATAACCTGCTGGTGTGTCATTTATAAAATGGTTTTTTAGGTTTTTTCAAAATTTGCATGATTAACAATCGGAATGTAGACCTCAATGAAATGTTCTGGAATATTAACACCCCAAATGAATTGTCAACCATATTAACCATATATATGAATGGCTGAGCAATAAATGGCGCAATTGTGCATATCTTCTTAAATTTAACAGCCACATTTTAAGCAAAAAGAAAAGAAACTATAAGCCTGAAACATTCTGTCATAGCCTCCCCATCAGTACATTCAGTGCTTTGATATATATAGAATGGAGCCATTTGCCGATGAGTATGTACCACGTAATGCTTAACTATAACTGACTTATAGTATAAAGTCATAACTATGCATTGCTCATTACTTATCATTCACTGTATACCCTGAACTGATAACATTCATGACCATATCAATTCCCACGGTGTGTACTCACTTGTACACGAAATTAGTGTATTTCATTTATCTGTGCATTATTTCACCAGTTTTATCGCTTCCATGTTATATTCATTTTGCTGTATACCAACAAATTAAATATCAATATTGTGTAATTAGCATCTCCCACTAATAACTAGAATACACTTTACTCACTGGAATCTTTGTTGTAACATTATCCACATTTTCCACTCCAAGACCGTTATTAATAATTCATTGTATATAACAAATTAATATCAAATAACTAATTTATTTTTAAAGATTCCCTTTAACTTCAATTTTTTTTTGGTTTTTATATCGTAAATAATGATGCTCAAAATAAAGATTTATCAATATTGTAAAGTTCCAAAAAGCTTTAATTGTTAAAGATATACCGAATTTACATTTCATTTTAAAAATAAAAGGACGTAATTAGAAAATTTTTTTTTTGAAAAACTAAAATGCCAAATTTTTCAATAAGAAATGAATGCATAGATTTTAATGATTACTTATAATGCGTATAAACAGTTGCAGTACATATTAAACATATGCTTGTATGTTTGGAAATTCTTTTAGAAGGATAATTATATTTAACAGAAGTGTTGTTACATCCTTAATTACAGCATACAGGATCTTTAATGCAAATAAACGGTTCACAGTACTCCTTCTATGTATATAATCAGCCGTATTACACTCACTGTATATCAATAACTGTACATCTGTCACAGTATCACTTAACGTATACTCTTCGCTTAGTCAGAAACTGATATTTAATCTAACACTATATACAAATCGTTGATCAATCACTGTACATCACTCACTGTTTATTACTCACTTTACCTACCACTTACTGTATTTCTCCAAAAATGCTATCAATATGCCTTTTTTAAAATATTTGAATTTTCTTTACTTTAAACGTTCAATATTAAACATTCACTCAGTTCAAGTGAATATATTTATTACATATTACAACAAAGAGTGTGCTTGTTTATATTACAGTTTACCATGGTACTGGTTTGCTGGTCTGTTTCATAGCCATGTCAATAGTGACGGATAAAATGAAAGACATGATGAACGATAATACCGAATATAGCGGGGCAAAGTATCAAGAAATGATGTCTCGGGTTATGAAGCGGGCTTTGAATTACCACTTTGGTTGGTCTGCATATTTTGGTTTGATTGCACTATGCGTTGCACTTATATCGGCCATAATAAGTATGCCAACTAGGAACCCCCGCGACACCGATGAAGATGAGTGTAGATCACGTGACACTAATGTGATGGAACTGTAATGAATATCTGACACTGATATTTACGATATTTTACATCCTATTTCTTTTCAAATGATAACAATTCTTCAGGCTAGCATCCTGCCTTTTTAGTGTTACCAACACTTACCACTTAACCATAAATAGTCCCGGATAATTTTCATTTATTAAAGATCGTGTATCTCAATTTTCATGGTTTTATATCATAAATATGATGCCAAAATAAAGATTTATTAATATTGTAAATTCCAAAAAAGCATTATTTGTAAAGATATTACATAATTTACATTTCATGTAAATAAAGAGAGGTAATTAGAAATTTATTTTCTATAAAGTCTAAGCAAAATTTTACAATAAGAAATGAATACATATATTTTAATGATTACTTATATAAACGTGTATAAACATTTGCAGTACATATTTAACATATTCTTGGATGTTTGGAAATTGTTTTAGAAGAATAATAATAAACATGTTCATATACATTTGTATAAAATTTCACTTAAGTGTTGTTGCATCCTAAATTACAACATACAGGATCTTTAAAGATAGTTTAATAATTCAGTTTATCAATTCATCAAAAGAAAGTCACTTAAACCTAATAATGATAATTTATGACGCAAATATACGATAGTTATATCCTTTATATTGTACATGTTATCAGGACACAGCTACCGTCTTAATAATTTTTATAGGTTATAGGCTGTATGCCAATCAAATTTAAGCTTTTTTTTTTTTTTTTTTTTTTGTTGTTGTTGCTGTTGTTTTACACCACTAATAACACATGTCTTTGCAAGTTAGAAATACATGTATAAGAAAGAATGAAAACTCTAAATTAAGTATTAAACATTTTCAATGTTACCGTTTTGGACTTTCTTTAGGGGTTCATATTTTCAGTCAGTTTAATATAGAAAAGGAGAGCTTTGAAGGGTAGGGGGAAAAAACCTGAACTTCAGGGCAATGCCTGAAGACTTGTACCCATGCTTTTGTATATATCGACAGTCAAACTGCTTTAGAACCTTATTTCTTAGATAACTTATAAGCAATTACCAATGTCTTACTCCAACTTACAACAAGCAAATTCGTTGAATTTATATCCCCCGCCGAGTACTGGTTATTATTAACACAACAACTGAAGACATAAGGCTTTATTTATATATTAATCATGGCATAAACAGTAATATTCTTTGAACTTGATAAATATTCAGGGAAATAACAGAGCCATAACTTTGTGTTAAATAGTAAAATCTGGAAATGCCAATGAGATGTATGCATACTACATAACTAATCAAGGGCCATAAATCTGAGTTATAAGTATCTGACTGGAACAAGGCGACTATATGCACATCTCCTCTTAGTATCCCATAAAGTTTCATTGAATTCCAGCCGGTGGTAGCAGAGAAGTAGCGAGGAAACAAATATTTTTCTATATGGATACTGCATAACTTATCAAGGGCCATAACTTTGAGTTTAAGTGTCTGACCGGAACAAGCCGATGATATGCGCATCTCCTCTTGGTATTGAAGGTTCCCATAAAGTTTTGTTGAATTCCAGCCAGTAGTTGCAGAGAAGTAGTGCGGAAACGATTTTTACTCTATATGCATACTACATAACTAATCAAGGGTCATAACTCTGAGTTAAAGGGTCTGACCGGAACAAGCCTACGATATGCACATCTCCTCTTGATATTGATGATTCCCATAAAGTTTCGTTGAATTCCAGCAAGTAGTTGCAGAGAACTACTCCGGAAATGATTTTTACTCCATATGCATATTGCATAACTAATCAAGGGCCATAACTCTAAGTTAAAGTGTCTGACACGAACAAGCCGACGACATGCGCATCTCCTCTTCGTATTGAAGGTTCCAATAAAGTTTCGTTGAATTCCAGCCAGTAGTTGCAGAGAAATAGCGCGGAAACGATTTTTGCTCCATATGCATACTGCATAACTAACCAAGGGCCATGACTCTGAGTTGATGGGTCTGAACGGAATAAGGCAATGATATGCGCATCCCCATTTGGTATTGATGGTTCCCATAAAGTTTCGTTGAATTCCAGCCAGTAGTTGCAGAGAAGTAGCGCGGAAACGATTTTTACTCTATATGCATACTACATTACTAATCAAGGGCAATAACTCTGAGTTAAAGTGTCTGACCGGAACAAGCCGACGATATGCGCATCTCCTGACTCCTCTTGATATTGATGATTCCCATAAAGTTTCGTTGAATTCCAGCCAGTAGTTGCAGAGAACTACTCCGGAAACGAAATTCGGACGGACGCATGGACGGACGGACGAACGGACGGTCAGATGCGCATCTTCTCTTGATATTGATGATTCCCATAAAGTTTCGTTGAATTCCAGCCAGTAGTTGCAGAGAACTACTCCGGAAACGAAATTCGGACGGACGGATGGACGAACGGACGGACGGACGGAAGGACGGACGGACAACGCCAAAACTATATCCCCCTCCCGATTCCATCGGCGGGGGATAATAACAAGAACCGGTTGAATCGGGTGATGCTCCCCGAGAAGGTTTTGGACACAGGAAAGTATATAAAAATGAACAAAGGGCAAAAACTCCAAAATAAGGCAAGGCGGAGTTTGTTTGCACTGCACTTCTATTCAATGAGATCTATCTATCTATAAAGTTTCCTGATGATATCTCTTATAGTTTCAGAGTTATGTCCCGGGTAAAATTCAAAGTGTTAGAATGAACAAAGGGAAATAACTCCAAAAGGCTTTGTTTAGGTTCTTTAAGCATTGCAGTTCTATCCAATGCTATCTATCTACCTACAAAGTTTCATGTTGATATCTCTAATAGTTTTAGAGTTATGTCCCGGACAAAAGTCAAAAAGGTAAAGTAAACAAAGGGCAATAACTTCAAAATAAGACAAGGCAGAGTTATGATTTTTTAGCACTGTACTTAAACCCAATGAGACCTATCTATCTACAAAGATTCATGTTGATATTTCTTATAATTTTAGAGAAATGTCCCAGACAAAGTTCAAAGTGTCGAAATAAACAAAGGACAATAACTCCAAAATTAGGCAAGACAGAGTTACGTTTCTTGTGCACTGCAAACCTACTTAATGAGACCTATCTACCTACAAAGTTTCATGTTGATACCTCTTATAGTTTTAGAGTTATGTCCCGGACAAAGTTCAAAGATTGAAAATAAACAAAGGGGAATAATTCAAAACTTAGACAAGGCATAGTTGCGGTTCTTGTGCACTGCACTTCTACTTAATGAGATCTATCTACCTACAAAGTTTCATGTTGATACCTTTTATAGTTTTAGAGTTATGTTCCGGACAAGTTCAAAAAGTAAAAATAAACAAAGGGGGGTAATTCAAAAATTAGGCAAGGCAGAGTTACGGTTCTTGTGCACTGCACACCTACTTAATAAGATCCATCTACCAACAAAGTTTCATGTTGATACCTCTTATAATTTTAGAGTTATGTCCCGGGCAAAGTTCAAAGTGTAAAATAAACAAAGGGGGATAATTCAAAAATTAGGCAAGGCAGAGTTACAGTTCTTAAGCACTGCACACCTACTCAATGAGATATATCTACCTACAAAGTTTCATGTTGATACCTCTTATAGTTTTAGAGTTATGCCCCGGACAAAGTTCAAAGTGTAAAATAAACAAAGGGGATAATTCAAAAATAAGGCAAGGCAGAGTTGCGGTTCTTGTGCACTGCACTTCTTCTCAATGAGATCTATCTACCTACAAAGTTTCATGTTGATACCTGTTATAGTTTTAGAGTTATGTTCCGGACAAGTTCAAAAAGTAAATATAAACAAAGTGGGGTATTTCAAAAATTAGGCAAGGCAGAGTTACGGTTCTTGTGCACTGCACACTTACTAAATAAGATCTATCTACCAACAAAGTTTCATGTTGATACCTCTTATAGTTTTAGAGTTATGCCCCGGACATAGTTCAAGTGTAAAATAAACAAATTGAGATATTTCAAAAATTAGGCAAGGCAGAGTTACAGTTCTTGAGCATTGCACACCTACTCAATAAGATATATCTACCTACAAAGTTTCATGTTGATACCTCTTATAGTTTTAGAGTTATGACTCGGACAAAGTTCAAAGTGTAAAATAAACGAAGGGGGATAATGCAAAAATTAGGCAAGGCAGAGTTGCGGTTCTTGTGCACTGCACTTCTACTCAATGAGATCTATCTACCTACAAAGTTTCATGTTGATACCTTTTATAGTTTAAGAGTTATATTCCGGACAAGTTCAAAAAGTAAAAATAAACAAAAGCAGGTAATTTAAAAATTAGGCAAGGCAGAGATACAGTTCTTGAGCATTGCACACCTACTCAATGAGATCTATCTACCTACAAAGTTTCATGTTGATACCTCTTATAGTTTTAGAGTTATGTCTCGGACAAAGTTCAAAGTGTAAAATAAACAAAGAGGGATAATTCAAAAATAAGGCAAGGCAGAGTTATGGTTCTTTTGCACTGCATACCTACTCATTGAGATCTATCTACCTACAAAGTTTCATGTTGATACCTCTTGTTGTTTCAAAGTTATGTCCCGGACAAGAAAAGCGGACAGACGGACAAGGCGGCGACTATATGCTCCCCCGAAAATTTTCGGGGAGCATAAAAATAATTCCATATCTGGTTTAAGTGACCTAGTTTTTGACCCTAGACAGTCCCATAATTAAACTTGAGGTTTTGGGGCTTAAATGTTATCTCTAAGAGTATTAACAAAATTATTCCATATTTGTATTATGTAAACTAGTCTTTTTGACCCCAGATGACCCATATCCATATTTAACTTGAGTTAGAAATGTTTGGAACAAATTATCTGACAAATTTCCAGCATATTTGAGTTGAAAAATGTTCCACAAGAGTGTTAAGATGGGTTTTTTCCATACTTGGACCACGAGACGTGTTCTTTTCTTTACCTCAGATGACCCATATTCGAATTTGAGCTAGAAATCAACGAATAAGCTTTTTGACAAATATCCAGGAAATTTGTGTTGAAAATGATACCCCTAACAAGGTCTATTGACCTCGTTTTTGACACCAGATGACTAATATTGGAATTTGAGCTAGGAATAATCAAAACAAAAACAGCTATTCCGACAAATTTCTAGAATAGTTTGTGTGAAAAAGTGCTAACAAAGGTTTTCTTCATTTGAGCTTGTGACCTAGTTTTGGACCCCTGATGACCCACATTAGAACGTGAGCTTGAATTCATCGGTACAACCTGTCGAACAAATTCCCAGTACATATTACCTCTAGAGTGTTTACGGTGTTTTCACATATTTGGGTTCTATGCAAAAAAGTAGTTTACTTGCTTAGGTAAAAACACTATAATCTATATCGAGAAAACGAATAAAACAATTAACTAAGGTCCATTAAAATGCTACTTAAGTACATTTCATTTTGGTATAGAACTTAACATATGGGTACCAGGTAATAATTATTTTAACCAAATAAGATGGAACAATAGTTTGAGAAACGAGAAAATATGACATTTTATTTCGACAAATACATTCAGAAAAGTGTTAATATTTCACAACTTACGGCATATTACGGCAATTTTTTTAACACAATAACCGTCATTAAATGAGTTAAGAGGTAAGATTCGTGGCATGGAAAAATATTTATACGACAATTCAAATATTATGAAAATGTGAAATTGTGATGTCTTACAACAGTTTAACAGTTCAAATATTTTGTTCACAGTGTCCTAAGGCTTGTTAACTCAGCATAAAAGCACAAAGGTCCAGTCTT